TCCTATGATGCTGCTTGGCCTGCTGTGTTCATCCAGCCCTGCACCTTTTGTCTAGTAATCTGCCTTCTTGTTTTTGCTTCCGAAGTGAATAACCTAACATTTATCCAAATTACACTGCTGTTGATGTGCCCACTTACCCAACCTGTCCAGATCATGCTGAAGGATCTCTGCATCATCTTCACAGTTTACCCTCTCACCCAACTTGGTATCGTCTGCAAACTTGGATGTTACATTTTGTTCCCTCATCCAAATCATTAACATATAGTGAATAGCTGGGTCCCAGTACCGATCCCTGTGGCACCCCACTAGTTACTGCCTGCCAATTTGAAAAGGATCTATTAATTTCTACTGTTTCCTGCCAACCAGTTTCCTATCCATCTCAATACACTTTCCCCCAGTCTCATGTGCTTTAATCTTGCACGTTAATTTCTCATGTGGAATTTTGTCAAACACTTTCTGACAGTCCAAATATACCGCATTGACTGGCTCTCCCTTGTCAACTCTATTAGTTATATCCTCATAGAATTCCAACAGATTTTTGTCAAGCATAATTTCCCCCTTCATAAATCCATGCTGATCCTGCCACTGCTTTCTAAATGCTTTGCTATAAACTCCTTGACAATAGATTCGAGAATTTTCCCCACTACCAATGTTAGGCTCACTGGTCTATAATTCCCTGTTTTCTCTCTACATCCTTTTTTGAATATTGGATTGATATTAACCACCCTCCAATCTGCAGGGATTGTTCCAGAGTCTATAGAATCCTGGAAGATGACTACCAATGCATCCATTATCTCTAGAACTACTTCTAGAACTACTCTGGTCTGTAGATTATCAGGCCCTGGGTACTTATTGGCCTTCAATCCCAACAATTTTCCCAGCACTATTTCTCAATAAATGGATCTCCCTCAGCTCTTCCCTGCCACTGAATCTTACATTCTCTAACAATTCTGGTATCTGATTTGGTTGTCACAGAAGACACAAAGTATGCATTCAGTTTCTCAGCCATTTCTTTGTCCCCTATTATACATCTCCCCCATTTGTCTGTAGGAGATCTACATTTGTCTCTACCAATCTCTTTCTCTTCACTTACCTATAGAAAGTCTTGGCATCGGTTTTTATGTTCCCTGCAAGCTTACTTTCATATTCCATTTTCCTCTTCTTAAATCAATCCTTTGGTCCTTTGCTGAATTCTAAACTGCTCCCAATCCTCTGATTTATTATTTTTCTTGGCCAATCTGTATGCTTCTTCCTTGGATCGGATACTATCTCTTATTTCCTTTGTAAGCCATGGATTGGCCCTCTTATTCCTGTCTGTCGCAAAAGAAAAAAAGGAGTAACAGTTGTTGCAGTTCCATGTGCTCCTTGAATGCTTGTCATTATCTGTCCACTGTCATCCCTTTAACTAACTCTCCCCCATCTATCAAGGCCAACTCACACTTCATATCCTCGTAGTTTCCTTTATTAAGGTTCAGCACCTTCATTCTTCTTTAAGTGAGAAATGAATAATTTGATTGTTTTAAAGTACTTATAATTTTTCACACTCCTGGATTTTTTTTGATAAGAATGAAAACAATGATGCAAAGCTGCTGCCTCAGACTTCAATATCACAAAAGTATTTCTTTTATTTTGCAATCACTTCCAGAAGCAGGTGCATTCATTTCTACAAAATGTTAGTGCTGCTGCCAAAAAGTGCCCCACTGGGAACAGAAAATATTTAAGTGCAATTTTATATCGCTAGATAGATTTCACAGAACTTGATTGGATTCCAAAGCATTTGGGCAACAGAGATATAATTAATCCATTTTGTATATCAGTTACAGCCAAGACATTTATCCCAGAAACCTCCCATGGTGCCATGAGCCAAAAGGAATTATTTCCAGCACAGGTAAACTCAATCGGAAGTGTTCTGAGTTTTCACAATGCAGCTGTACTACAAATTCAGACACCTCCATTTGCTTGCAGTAATCCAGAAAAAAAAAAGACAGATGAAAGTAATTAGCAAGAAGCCAGAGGAAACATGCATGCAGCCTCAATACAGACCTGAAAAAATTACTTAATTCTCTAATCAGGTGCTGATTTGCTCCTACACGACAACATTAAGTAATGTCAAGAATCAATTCACTCGCAATTGCTCCAACCCACATGCACAATTCAAGTTTTCAATGTGCTCCTTTCAAATCAGAATCTACTCTCAGGAGATAAACAGACCCAAAACAGTGAGCAATCTGTTGCCAAAGGATTTCTGAGAAAGTACATTCATGATATGATTTTAATTGAGACTTGAGCTTAGCCTCTTGTTGACCACAAATCGAAAAATAACCAAAACACAAATATATCCATTTTAACCAGTGTCTTCAGCAATCCATTAACTACCTCAATTGCCACATATGCATGGTTCTTCACTGCAAGGCTTTAGAAGTATCGCATACATTATCCTCAAAGCATCCCTCCTAAACAATTACTAAATGTATTTTGGTGCCCATCACTATTCAAAATTCAAAAGATATTTTAGTCATGACTTGAAATGTCAAGGTTTTTCCTCAGATAGAAAATAATTTTTTTTAGCTTATATAATCTTTGAACAAGCTAAAAACAGCTTCTGCATCAAAATGAAAATTCCATTTTCTATGTTCATATTTCTAATTTTGAAAAAATTTAGAGACTTGTGTTCATAGCTTGATATCAGACAAATGAAGCATTGTGAAGAGTGACAAGATGATGCATATGGGAAAAATGTCATACTTAAACCTCAAACATGCTGAGTGGAGAGGAAGTTACAAAAATAGTGGAGACAAGTTCAATTGAGACATTCAAGAGGGCACTGAATGAGTGTTTGGATTAAAATAGGGTGAAAGGGTATGGAGAAAAAGGAGACTGGCATTAGGTAATAATTCCCATTTGAAGAGCTGGTATCGGCACAACAGGCTGAAAGGTCTCTTTCTGCATTGTAAAACAGATTTAATGAAGGAATGTAATCACAATTTCAAGTCGGCAATTAAACATAACTCCATAGTGAAGATAACATTTGCCCACAAGCCATCAACATATCCTGATTTTAGCAATGACTAATACTTTACCAGCTGATTATCAGAAAAATAGCTTTATTTTATATAGGTTACAGAATCTACAATATGGATTGTATCAATAGGTCTAGTGACAGTATGAACGGGGACATTCTCAATTGAAGGGAAGAGAGCAAGGATAGATGGTGAACTGAAGGGACTTGAGAGATTGCATTAGCAGCCACTGTTTACAATGGAGAGCTATTGTTGACAATATTGTAGTTATCAAATGAAGTAGCTATTTACAAGAGATCTTCCACAAAGATTCTCCAAATGCAGCAGTAATCTTAAACGCTGGGGGAGATACTCAAGAGCAAAGTGATTGGTCTATTCAGCAGTATTACAGGCCATGGAAGCAAACAAGCAATTATGGGGTCACTAATAATCTCAACTGTAATTTGGTTTGAGAAATCATCTTTTCATAATTACAGTGAGAAAATTCATGCTGACAGTTTTGTTCTGGTTCAAAGTTCCTTTCATTGAATTACACAACTGGTATAACTGTCCAAAATGTTCTTATTTAGACACAGCAAATGTCAACATTACAAAAGTATACTTAATTAAATAGGAAACCAAGTATTGGTATTACTAAAGTAAAAAGCAATTAGAAATATTCCAATAGGTCAAGCAGTATCTGAGGATATACCAAAGAAAATGTTTCAAACCAATAAACAGACATCACTTCTGCACAAACTACATAGCATTTCATCATGTGGCACATCTCACCTTTCAGTGCATATATATGTCTCCTTTTATGGATGTCAAGGTTTGAGAGACCTGGACACATACAAACATGCATATCATGAGAAGTAGGACATTCAGCCCCTCAACACATTTCAGATGAATGCAAAGCAGGCATATGTACTCAGACAATATCTTTGATAAAGAAAATAAACTGTTATTATTACAAAAGCAATCAAAAACTTACGAGAGGCACTCATGGTCCGAATGCCAGAGTCATTGGCGCTGTGCAGCACAATGCAAACTGGAGTCAGGCGTCAGGGCTGTACACAATTGCTGATGCAGTCTGTGGGAATTGCCCAGGAAATTGAAACTGTTGATAGGCAAATCCCTGTGTCTGTAACCCTCCACAAAGCTCCTGAAAGTTGGAAAATTTACAGTTCCAATTTAGTTAAGCTTAATAGTTATCCAGAAAAAGAGAACATTAAAAACATAACTCCTGGGTAACTATCAAACTGACCCTCCAACTCTCAGCTAACCTTCTCAACTACTCCTCCCTCACAACTTTACACCGCCCAGATTCCCTGATAATCTCCCCAACCTGAACACCCATCCTTGTCCCAACATGACATAGCTAGGCCCAGCAACAACCATTCAGCCAGCAACACCAGCCCAATCCAAACGATATCCACCTCCCCTCCATCCCCAAGCTACCACGGACACATCCCATCCCCCACTGCCAGACCTAACACACCCTAGATCTGAACTCAACTCAGCTAAGCACGCACTTACCTCATTCACCGGACATCTGATCAACTTCACTTGTATGACATCCTTCCCACCTGGTACAACACCCACCTCGCTCACCAGGGACCTAAACCCCTTGACAACTGCGCCCCCAACCCTACAAACAGAAGCAAAGTGCTGGCTACAGTTAATATTTAAATCTCAACATAGTGCACTAACTGCTACAGAAAGACATGGTTTTGATAAGTTTCATCTTTGTTGCTGTGACACGAGGCCACTGCCCAGGAATCTCCAGTGCGGAAGACATCCAAAGGCAATTCGTATTTTAGACATCCCACAAACTAGCCTGACTAAAAGCCACTGCACTTCATAATACGTGCCTCCTTGACCCACACAGATACATCCAAGCATGTACCGTGACGTCCAAAAAAATGTTGGGGGTGGGGAATGCTGGGTGCTGAGCTTTGGACAGCCAGGATCAGGGCTTCAGCACCATTTTGCCCAAGGCAGAGACCCTCGAATTTTAAATAGAGGAGAGAGAATCAGTTGATAAAACTATGCAAACCCAGCTGCAGTCCCTTTCTACAATACTGACCCCAATCAAAAGAGGTAAGTCAGTGCTAAATATACACAGATAATTGATCAAACAATACAATCAATCAGAATATCACCTTTGGAAGCCTTGGTTGTTGAGATTAAGCAGACATTTATTGTCAAGAATCAAAAGATAATAAGCTCATTATGAACATGAAGTGAGGTTCAAATATATCAAGTGTAGTGGTAATATAAAATTAAGAAAGCCCTTTTCCATTGGTTTCTGAATTTGCAACCAGATGGTTCAGGTTAAGAATGCCAATAGATAGTGTGGTTAGATCAGCAGAATTACTTAATTTTATTGGAGGAGTGTTGTCAGGACATGTAATTCCCACATAAAAATGTCACTTTTTAATTAAAGTATGGCTATGATTGGTCTCCTTCTGCAATTTCTTTGGTCAGAGAAACTCAAAATGAAAATGAATGCACACAAATGCATATATATTGTCAAAACAATTCAATAGGTCTTTGTAAGTTACATCTGTGAACAAAGTAGTTATTTTGATATAATTACTTATTAGGTTGTCTGAGCTCGAGTGTGCAACTGTGTTGTTCGAATGCTAAAGTGAGACAGATTTTATCCTTTGATAATTCTTTGCAATCTTGATAATTACCAAAATGCTGATGCTAGTAGCAAGTTTGGCAGCTGTTTCTACATCCTCTGGTGAAAATTCAGGATTACAGAGGACAGAAAAACCAAACAACTGCCTTTCTTTTATCTTTATACTTTTAAAACTTTGAACCTCAGTAGCAGAAATGCAACATAAGCAGAATTGGTAAAGACAACAAGTGACTCCTTTATGACGGTTTGCATCAGGAAAGCCACAAGAGGCAGATCTCAGCTCAATCTAAATATTGATAAGTGACCCAAGAGACTGTACAAAAATGAATATCATGGCACCTTTGGGTATGTGAACAACTTGACATGATTTGCACATTCACAATGAATAATATAATTTTGAAAAGGCAATGACAGGATTAATAACTACTAAAAAACAGATCAAAAGGGGAAATTAGTTCATTAACTTCTTGGCAGAGAACACTTGAATTATCCTGAAATGAAATTAAAGAACATGCAAGACAAATACAGGAGGTTAGGACTAACAAGCAAATATGGCCTAAATTGATGAATGGGGCAACAAGAGAAATTAGATTTCCAAAGCACAGAGTTGTGCAAAGGGCAATAGCAATGAAAATAAGCAGGAATATCAGAAATGTATCACAAAGATGCAAATAGGACTATGAAAGGAGTTTAACTGCAAGATCATTTAAATAATGTAACGGTAGCGAATAGAGGCTCAAGTGAAGTACAGCAATGGACAAATCCCTTGGCTAGGTAACAGAGATGGGCAGGTACAAGTGGCAACAAGCAGTCTTAGCTATGAAAAGAATGGTTTAAAATCTTTCACCTAGATTCAAACCTATTTGGATCATGAGGCAAATAAAATTACTGCTCAAATTTTCAGGTCTCTCTTCCATCATCCTTCCAAACACACCAAGCATATGAATCCTAGTGGAGGCCAACGCTATCTTTGCAAAAGCATAGTATTTACAGGACTAGCTGCCATCTTCTGGAAAGTGTTTAAATGTCTTGAAACTTCTTTGAAAAGCTACACAGGAGTAAACAGACAAGAGGGCAGGATTGTAGGGTAACAAGTGAGTGAAGTGGATAGAGTGGCAGGTAGGTCAGCAGTGGTTAGGGGCTGGGGGGAGTCAAAAAGACAGAAGGATTTGGGAAGGAATCAGGCAATGGAGGTCACGAGTCAGCTGATGAGCCTGGGCAGTTTTTTTTGAGGGGGGCGTCAAAACACTGAATCGAGGGCATATGTTGGATGGTTGAGTTCAGTTTGGAGTGATCAAGGCTAGAGGCCAGCTTAAGAGTTTGTTGCACAAGTCGAGTCAGTATTACTAAAGGTTCATACTACATTGAGAAAGTAATTAGATTCTAAACTGAAGGAAAAAGGATTTGTTCCACAGTTCAATGAAAGGTTAAATGGGTTTCAAAGGTGTAGATGTGTCACGAGGGATGAAAAGTTAGTTTGCAGATGACAAAGACTGGCTGAATGGTTGAGAATAAGGAAAAGGTGTTAGTTTACAGGAGGATATAAAATTTTTTTGGTCAGATGGGCAGGTCAATAGAATATGCAAGAGAATCAAGGTTGGGAACTCAATATTCCAGAATAAATGCCCTATCAAAAGGAAGAGCAAATAAGCAGACAGGGCAGGGTTGCCCTGTGACTAAGAAATGAAATTAAACTGATGTCAATTGTTGGAAAACCCACTGGATTCACTAATGTCCATATTGATCCATTGAGGTCTATGTTGGGACTACAACTATTCACGTTACACATTCACAATCTGATTAAAGGAACAGATTGTACTAAGTTTGCAGATCACGAAGTTAGGTGAGAGATAGGTCACGTTGAGGAAGCAGGGAGGCTGCAGAAGGACTTGGATACGCTAGGAGAGCAAGCAAAGAAGTGACAAGTGGAAAACAATATGGGAAAGTGAGATTATGCATTTTGATAGGAAAAAGCAGCTTGACAACTTTCCAAACAGGGAAAAGCTTCAGAAATCTAAAGCAAGAAGAAACTTTGGGTTCTTAGTTCAGGATTCTCATGGTTAAGATGCAAGTTCAGTTGGGATGCAAACGCAATGTTAGAATACACAAATACAATAGGGATGTTGAGGTTGCACAAGGCTCTGGTCAGACTACTTTGACCATTGAGAGCAATTCTCAGCACTGTATCGAAGGATAGATGTGCTGGAATTGGAGGCCATCCAGAGGAAGTTTACAAGAATGATCACAGGAACAAAGGGTTTGTCATTGAGGAGCCGTTGAGGATTCTGGGTCTGTATCCAATGGAGTTTAGAAGAATGAAAGGTGGGGGGAGCTCATTGAAACTTACAGAACACCGAATCCTGGAGAGAGTGGACGTTTTCCACTATCAGGGAAACTATGACTTGAGGGCACAGCCTCAGAACAAAGGGATAACCCTTTAGAACTGAGATCAGGAGGAATTTCTTCGAAGGGTGGTAAATCTGTGGAATTGATTATTGCAGAAAGCTGTGGAGGCCAAGTCATTGAGTGTATTTAAGACAAAGAAAGATAGATAGGTTCTTGATTGATAAGGGGATCAAGGGTTACAAGAAGGAAGCAGTCGAGAAATACTTCAGCCATAAATTGATTGGCCCAATTCTGTTCCTATATCTTATGATCTTAACCCTGATTAGGTGGGAGGTGATGCACCTTGGAAGTAGTAGTAAGATAAAAGGAGTATTCCATGAATGACAATATGCTAAGCGCAGAAGGATCTACAGCATTTCTTATCTCAGACTCCCTACAGTTTGGAAACAGGCCCTTCGGCTCAACAAGTCCACACCGACTCTCGGCATCCCACCCAGACCCATCCCCCTATAACCCACCTAAACTACACATCCCTGAACACTAGCGGCAATTCAGCATGGATAATCCACCTAGCCTGCACATCTTTGGACAGTGGAAGGAAACCTATGCAGACAGGGAGAATGTGCAAACTCCATACAGTCGCCCGAGTGGAATCGAACCCAGGCCCCTGGTGCTGGGAGGCTGCAGTGCTAACCACTGAGCCACCATGCCGCCCCCGATTTATCAGCAACTTCCTGAAGGTGGCAGAACAAGTTAATAGTATAGTGTAGACATTTGTTTTAATCAATTGAGGCACAGATAAGAGCACGGAGGTCACGTTAGAGCTGTACAGAACTTTGGTTCGGCCACAGCTGAAATGCTGTGTGCAGTTCTGGTCTCCATGCTAAGAAAGGACATGACTGCACTGGAGAGGTTACAGAGGAGATTCACTGGGATGGAGTGCTTTAGCTCTGAAGAGAGGCTGGATGCACATGGTTGTTTTCTTTGGAGCAGGGATAGTTGGGGTTGGGGGTGTGGGGGCCGGGGGGGACCTGACAAGAGGTGTATAAGATTATGGTTAAGCAGCAGCTGTTCCCCTTAACTGAAGCGTCTACAAGGGGGCACAATTTTAAAACGGCGAAAGTCAAGTGGTTTAGAGGGGATTTGAGGTAAAACAGTTTTCATCCAAG